CCCCCCCCCCCCCCAAATAATTTCACTTTTAAGGAGAGGCTGGCTAACTGCTTGCATTTAAGTTAATGGCATCAATCTCTGTGATAGAGCAGAGGCTCTAGGCAGGGGACTTTTGTGTTTAGATCTTCATTTTGCCTGTGGGACTATGCTACCACCAAAAATGAGACTCGCTGTGAAACTTGGTCTTTTATTGATTAATTCCAGTCAGTATCAAGATAGTGAAGTTCATAGGCTATTTTTTCCTACTTCTTGTATGATCAAGTAACCCATATGCGACAAGCTTCTTTCTATCCATCTGCCTTTAGGTTTTCCAGAGCTGGTCATCTCCATACTATTTCAAACTATTCCATATTAAATAGATTGATGAGAGCAAAGTATCCTGCACCTGGTGTCTGTTTTAATATGCTATAATTACTTTGACCTTTGCTCAACTCAGCCTCAATAATTTATTCATAATCTGGGCTCTCTATATTTTACCTGGAGTATATTTTATTGCTGTTAGAAAGTCAGTAAATTTTGCTTGGCAAAATCAGAAGGTGAATTATATTACCATTTTCCACCTGTTTATGTAACTTCTCATATTTTGGTGTTTTTAAAATTAAGTGTCCCTGATGGTTATCTTAAAATTCTTCCTAATATGGCTCATCAACTAGAATTGCAATGCAGTAAAAAACACTGTTGTTCTGTCTACAAAATGTTCATAATCATCCTAGTACTCTCCTGTGCAGTCTTTTAAAGATGTTTACCTTTAAGTGACTGCTAGGTTTTTTGCCCATTTCTCCTGGTGTAAATTCCATGTTAATATATGTACTAAACTTGAAAGTCAATATGCCATAAAATGGGTAAGCAAATCTTAAAGCTGAAGAAATTGCATGATGATGATGGTAATGATACAATAAGGAGTGTGAATCTAATGCTAAAAACCATATTTATCTAACCCACTTTCTGCACAGTTGAGCTCTTAGATGTAGTTTTGTTTAGTCCAAGCTCATCGAGATTTAAAGCAGAAGGATTACTGGTAATGTTTTTGCTTCAAATCAGCAGGAGCTGTATCAAGACCAAAGCAAGGCAGGAGCACTGTCGCATGTAGTAATAGTCTTAAAATACCTTATATTTTAAGGTATTTTGAGTTTTAATATACTCAGGGCAGGCATAGTTGGTTTGAAAAAGGCACTGGAAAGATGGCTTTTCAAATGGGGTGCTAGTAAATTCAGAAAACTTATGCAGGGGTGCCTGGAGTCTAAAAAGGTTGTGAACCACTGATCTAAGGTGCCACCCAGCCATATTCTCTGCCTGGCTCCAGACTGACGTGGCTAACTGCTTTTTTTTCTATATAGAGGATGCAAGTATTTGGTTATAGATTTAAATGACAAGTTTTAATGGCAAAGTTGCAAGTTTTAGACACTCTTCTCAATGGAATAAGCTTAAAAGCAATATCCAAATAAAAGTTTCAAACTGCTTTAGTTACCTATAGCTTGGTCCAGATTGTCTCCTATATAAGAATTACCTAGGTGTGCTGCATCTTGAGGAGTTTGTATCTTGTAGGTGGAGGCTGGCAGAAGGGAATATGATATTCAGGTCTTTTTCTAACAACAGGGCCACCTGTGCAAGATGTGTGCTGGCTGGGGGGGGTGGTATCTGTTGAGCCTAAGTGGCATTTGGCTTTAAGGACTTGCTTTATTTAAGATAAGCCCATTGTTAACTATCTTGGGAATCGGAAATTAATGTTGACATTAAGTCACCATGAAAAGTAGAGATGAAAATACCCATATCACAGAGCCTGTCTAGACATTGTTATGACTTAATGAAAAATGACTGTTAGTGTCCTTGTTTTCTGCATAAAGTCATAAGAAGAAAAAATCCTGACCTCACAAAATGAAAGGGAGGAGAGCTGCAGTTGATTTTAATGGGTCAGGATTTCATTAAAACTGCTTTGTCACCTAATAGCATGCTCCTGTTCCTGATTTTTTTGCAGATTTGCTTCAGAAGTGCATCTAGAAGAGTGACCAAATTGTAAATTCATGTTTAAAGAACTTTGTATAGCAAAGTAAAGAATATCTTGTTCAGAAAGTGAGCTTATGATTTTTTCCCCAATATATGCCAAGACAAACTGGCAGGTTTACACATCATTCCCTGCATCAGAGTAAAGAATAAACTCTCACTACTAGTGTGTGGGCTGACTAAGCTGCACTTGGAATTCTTTTCTATCCACCCATGTGAACTACACATGTTCTGTAGTAAGAAATAAGGCCAGTTCCTGTGCTTATGAAATAAGACTGCATTCGTGCCATCAACTTGCTTGTGTAAATGCTAGATCTAATTTGTTTAGAATCATTCTAATTTCCTTGAAGAAAGTGGCCAGGTACAGTGCGGTGAAGATGAGATCATTTTATCTGTTGAACAGCCAGTAAATTGAGGTAAAATATTCAGGGTCTGCAGCAAAGTTTATTATAGTATTGATGGCAATAAAACACTGTGTGTATACTGAAAATAAAACAAAGGGGGTGTGTACAAGGATGTTGTGTCTAAATGAGCAAGTAGAGCTATTTTTAAATATCCATCTTTCTCTCCTGTGTTTTAATCTAGGGACTGGTCAGAGGTCTCAGGACCCGAGTCTAAAGAGGAATGGTGTAAAAATGCCTGGTGATCGAAGAATAGAGAATGGAGTAAGTGATCTCTGAGTTATTGGTGCAAATCAGAACTGGCAACCAAAGGGAAGTAGCTGACCGATTGCTAGCGCCTGTGCTGAAATATGTGACCAGTTCCTTCAATGAAAACTCTCCATCACTTGTCACTTTTGTTTCCAGTTCTTAGCATCTCTACAGAAGTTGTCAAGGGAATAAACTGAACTTTACAACTGTCATGTGCTATCACTGTCACATCACTGGTGTCAGCACATTGACAACAATGGTGCAGGGAAGCCTACACCGTATTTGTCCAGTGACTGAATGGAGCGATTTGCAGTCTGCAGTGCTGTCAGTCTGTCTTGCAGGGTGATGAATGCTTTAGTCGCAATTTGTCAAAGCACTTAAATTTGTGCTGGACTTAATCCAGAAGGGCCCTTCTAAAAAAGGTGCTTTGGAAAATATTGTGTAAATGTAGTTGCATGCTGTTTTGATATCAGTGGGACTTGTCAAGTGCTTAAAGATGGGATTGTGCTTAAGTGCTGGATTGTGGACAAAAGGCTCCTTATCTTGCAAGCTTGTATCATGCTGTTATGTATGGTACCAAATGGTAGCCCCGCAGGTTTAAGTGGTTTGTAATTGTCTCAATAGACAGGGTTGTGTTGTTGTTAATTTTCCATTATTTTCATTTAAATCAATAAATATTTATTTGGGTATTTATTCTATAAAGATTTTTTTGAAAGATTCAGAACTATTTGCAGGTGGAATGAGCAGATCAATTGAAACGCAGAGCACTCCTTCCAAAGGCTTTTGTTCATCACTTAGTATTCCTCTGAGCTGAACATGTGTTTTCTATATCTGAAAGCATTTCATTCATCATAGTTTGGATTTTCATCTGCAGGTCAGCACCCCCAGAATGGATATGACTCTAGCTGAACTACAGGAAATGGCCTCACGCCAACAGCAGCAGATTGAAGCTCAACAGCAAATGCTGGCTAACAAGGTAAACTTGAAATAAGTTTGTTTACAGTCCAGAAACAAAAGCTTGAAGAGCACTTTTTCTTTTTTCTGAGTATGCTCAGTACTTTAACATCCAAATACACAAAAGGACGCCAGCCTGAATAAGTCTCTGGTTCTTTGCAGTGATTTTTATGAGAAGATTTATATGGGACAGCTTAAATGACAGAACACTTTTAAAATAAAATGCTGTTACTAAGGTCCAGCTTGCTTGTAGGATGGGGAGTAACACACCGATTCATTGTAACAGCTCTGCCAACCCCCACTGTGCCCTGTATATTGACCAGCTGTTTACTGGGATTCATTGGGATTTGCTTGGATTTTGTCTCTGGGTACAGGAATCTGCTGTCATGATCTCTTGCTTTTTCATTATAAAATTCAACATGTCTGGTTTCCTAGGGTCCCTGTCTGGATAAGATGGAAAGTATTTGATAAAAATTAACTTACAAATGTGCTTACTAAAGAAGTTGGCAGATACTGTTCAGCAAAACTGATGACAGAGCAAGGAATCCCAGGGAATTCAATTGTCAAATCAAACCTTTTAAATTCTGAGAACATTTATGAGCAGACAAAGTTCTTTTGGATAAATGAGATCTTTTATTAGACCAACTAAATAGTTGGAAAAATTGTTCTTTACAAGCTTCTGGACAGAAACACTCTTCAGGCACCCTGCTGATGTTTGTGTACTCTCTTAAGTAGAATAGAAGCTAAAGCTAATATGCAGGTCTGTGAAAATGCAAATATGTGGCAGGGAAGATCAGAGGGGATGGAAGTTAATGGTTGCCAGACAGGTAGGTGGGGGAGGAAAAAAACGCAAAAGAGGAAAATGTTGACCAGTGCTAAAATGTAGCTGGGCAAATGCGGAGAGGTTACCTGGGGTTATCAGATGGCAGGAAGGTTATAATGTGCCATAAATCCAATATCTATATTTAGTTCACAATTTTTATACATTTGGTCTAATAAGGTATCACATTTACCCAAGAAACCTTGTCTACCTGTATCATTAGATCAACCCAGCTATAACAAACACCCCTGAGAACATTATGAAGTGTTTCCAGTTAATGGGGTGGGAGAGCTTTCCTGGGTCTTAGGGTGTTCTGCACTAGGGAAGAAGGACTGTGCTGGGACTCTTGGGAACATATTTAGACTTGTTCAAACCTCCTTTCTCTGCTAGAAGCCCAGCTTCTCTCCTGCCAGGTCCCATTGCTTGCTCTTATTGTCAGTGGTAGCTGTGGGCTGAGTAGTAGTAAGGAGAAAGATCGGAGAGAGATGCCGTGAGCCAAAGCGAATTGGCTAGACTGGGAGGTAGGATGGGGAGGGAGAAAGATTGTGAGGTTTGTTTGGAGATGGGCTCTTGCAGTGTATATTGGAGTTGGGGGAGGAGGGAAGGGCAAGAGAGGTAGAGGATGACTAGGTTGGGAGGAAAACAGTTTCCTTGGCTGTCATCCTTTTGTTATATGATCTGAATCAATAGACCTTTCTGTAGAAGTGAAAGGGTTAATGCACAAACACTTATACGTCATTGAAACACTTTGGTTTTTCTCATGCTGTTTGCTAAGTCTGCTCATATTTCAGTAAGTCTTACTCAATTAAGTGCTGCTATAGCAACTACACAGTGGTATACTGCCTTTTAATACTAAATCTCACTCTCAAAATGATATCCACTAGGGCTTAGTCTTCATTTGCATTTGGCAGTGTGCAAGTGTTCAAGGGAGATATGTTGCCCAGAGGTGCTGTGTCAGGAAAATGGGAAGTTGCTAGCTGAACCCACCTGTGCTGAGTAACTGGAGTTTTCTTCTCAAAGTGAAAGCTGCCAGCAAGTGCCTCCTATACTGTACTTGTGGTAGTTGGGCTGATGTTGGAGCCTCCCAACAATACAAGTGGTCCAGTAAGAGATTATCATAAAAAAAAAATCCTTACTTTACCTGTACAACTTAATCAGGGCAGAGTGGTGTCTCTGTAGTCCCTCTAGACTAGATAGAGTAGGGTATCATGTTATCAAGGATGTTTGCTTTTAGGCTCTATTCACCAGGTTATGTAACCGTTTAGAGCCAGGAGTCATCAGTTACAGGGAACAGAGATAGCAGTATTGTTGAATTGTCACATCTTTAAGTGAGAAATAGGAAAGCTAGATGTATGGTCTCTTTGGAAAGAAATATAAGAAAAAATGAATTTGCATACTACAGTCTCTTCTGTAGTTGTTTTTCTGGGTCTGCACCAGCAGGGCAGATGACTACCCACCAGGGAGGTTTGCCTTGTAGTCTGGACCTTGCAACTAAGTTCCCTATTGGCTGTTTTACAGAAGAACCTGTTCCAATTAAGATGCCTCTTCTTTTTCTGCTAGATGAAAGGTTTTCTTAGGGTGATATCTTTAATTGGACCAGCTGCATAGTTGGGATAGTTGCCTCTTCCTTTCCTGAAAGACTGCTAGAAAGTCTGGCCTGTTCCCATACACAAGCTTTCTACTCCTTTTAGTTGTATCCTCTGTGCTTAAGAGGAGTTTTTAATTAAAAATCTTTCCTGATAAACTCCCAAGATAAGAAGATGTACCTGTTTTTAAGGGGGGTGCTGTGATACTAGTTGGTTAACCAGTACTAGATTAAAACTCCAAACTGATGCAGCACATGCTGCAGGTGCTGCAAACTGTTAAAGCAACTTTTGCCTTTTCTTGATTTTTTTTTTTTTTTTTTTTTTTTTTTT